CCCAAGGCCCCCTGCACCTGCCCTCCTGCCCAAGGCCCCCTGCACCTGCCCTCCTGCCCCAAGGCCCCCTGCACCTGCCCTCCCGCCTAAGGCCCCCTGCACCCGCCCTCCCGGCCACAGGTGATGAAGACAATGGGCCTGGACAACGCCGTGCACTGGGTGGCCTGGTTCATCACGGGCTTCGTGCAGCTGTCCATCTCGGTGACGGCTCTCACCGCCATCCTCAAGTACGGCCAGGTCCTCATGCACAGCCATGTGCTCATCATCTGGCTCTTCCTGGCTGTCTACGCCGTGGCCACCATCATGTTCTGGTGAGAGCCTGTGGCTGGCAGGGGGCCAGGGGGGCCAGGCCCTTGTGTTCACCCAGAAGGTGCCGAAATACCCGGCCCAGAGTTCCCGGGTGCTCCAGCGGGGGCAGCGGGGAGGCTTCTGGCTTGGCGCCCCACCAGGGTCGGGCGTGGCTGACAGCCTGTGCCCACCCCCCCCAGCTTTCTGGTGTCAGTGCTGTACTCCAAGGCCAAGCTGGCCTCTGCCTGCGGCGGCATCATCTACTTCCTGAGCTACGTGCCCTACATGTACGTGGCCATCCGCGAGGAGGTGGCCCACGATAAGATCACAGCCTTCGAGAAGTGCATCGCGGTGAGGGTCATGGCGGGAGGGGCGGATGGGGGTGTTCTGGCCGCCTTCACCTGCGCTGACGCGGCTGTCTCCTTAGTCCCTGATGTCCACAACAGCCTTTGGCCTGGGCTCCAAGTACTTTGCCCTGTATGAGGTGGCGGGCGTGGGCATCCAGTGGCACACATTCAGCCAGTCGCCCGTGGAAGGGGACGACTTCAACTTGCTGCTGGCTGTCACCATGCTGATGGTGGACGCTGTCGTCTACGGCGTGCTCACGTGGTACATTGAGGCCGTGCACCCAGGTACCGGCCAACCCTTTGGAGGGGGTGGGTTGGGAGTGGGCTGCAGCTCCCTCGGGGGACATGGCCCGTAGCCCCAGGCCCGGGTCAGCCTCCCTTCCTCTCCCCAACCCCCAGGCATGTACGGGCTGCCCCGGCCCTGGTACTTCCCACTACAGAAGTCCTACTGGCTGGGCAGCGGGCGCACGGAGGCGTGGGAGTGGAGCTGGCCCTGGGCTCGTGCTCCCCGCCTCAGCATCATGGAGGACGACCAGGCCTGTGCCATGGAGAGCCGGCGCTTGGGTGAGGCGGGCGCCAGGGTGGCGGCCGGGGCGGTCACTGGGTTTCGGGGGCCCGGGGCAGCCTTGGCTCTGACCCGTGGCCCTGGTGCAGAGGAGACTCGGGGCATGGAGGAGGAGCCTACCCACCTGCCGCTGGTGGTCTGTGTGGACAAGCTCACCAAGATCTACAAGAATGACAAGAAGCTGGCCTTGAACAAGCTGAGCCTGAACCTCTACGAGAACCAAGTGGTGTCCTTCCTGGGCCACAACGGGGCGGGCAAGACCACCACCATGTGAGTGTCGGGCACAGCCCGGGGCCCGACCACGGGAGCGGCAGGGTGGGTTTCCTGAAGGAGGTTGCCTGTGACCCTGCCGTGCACCCAGGTCTATCCTCACGGGCCTCTTCCCACCCACATCGGGTTCTGCCACCATCTACGGGCACGACATCCGGACCGAGATGGACGAGATCCGCAAGAACCTGGGCATGTGCCCGCAGCACAACGTGCTCTTCGACCGGCTCACGGTGGAGGAGCACCTGTGGTTCTACTCGCGGCTGAAGAGCATGGCCCAGGAGGAGATCCGCAAGGAGACGGACAAGTGCGTGGGGGG